TAGACATATGTTACAGCATAATACTTGAATCCCAAGATTGTGAAAAAATATTTTTAAAAAATTTAACTTTTAAAGTAAAATAAAAATCTGCAATGACAAGACAGCATGAGAGTGCAGAAAGCAGGTTCACACCCGCGTTCCTTACGAAATTTCAGTATGAAAAATGGCTGCACATAAAATTTAGAGTGAATAATAGGCTCGATGCTATAATGGCAAATGACGTAAACGTGTTCTAAAGTTTCACTATGCATAGTGCCCGCATATCGAAAATATTTTACCCAATAAAAATTACTTCAGTTACGAGAACCAAACTTTCTGACGGTATTCCTCGGGAATTTCGCAAGCTGATAATACTAACTTTCCTTCAAAAGCGTTTTTAAAATGTCAGGATCTATCGTGGCTTCCGATATTCGCAACGGCCATCCCGGAGGCAATAAGGAGTTTTCGTAGACCGCGTTTCCCCTTGCCAACGAAGAAGCCGCAACTGCGCTTGCGCGCCGATGGCTTCGGCTGCAGAGTTCCGGGTATCGAAGTGGGGTTCCGAGAGCGTTGCAGGGCGACGAAAACGATCTACAAAAACTCGCGAATGCCAATGACTAGACCTACGTTGTGCAATACGAAAACTAACCTCGTGCAACTTTTAAATGTGTTGGGGTATGGCAAAAGAACCCCCCGAGCATTCCGTCTCATTCTCCGAGAATGACATCTGCGTAAAATTGCAATGGCAAGTAGGACTGGTAGAGGGGGACCGTTTTTCCCCACCCGGACCGCGGAAGGGCCGCCCTGCTGCCAGATAACGCGACGTTGGCATAAAACCCATCAGAAGTACTTCCCCTCGTTCAGGTAACGGAAACACCGAAAAATGGGGGAGTAGCGAACTGCATCGACACGGACGAATTGGAGCACGGAGGCCTGCAAGCCCGCAAACCTGCAATGAGTGTCTCAAAATACAAAAAAAAAAAAAAAATAAATAAAAACGTCATTGAGGCTTTGTTGCCACAAACAAGCGAGAAAAAAAAAAAAAAACAACACCGTTAACGATAGTTCTGACAACTGTCACGACTAGGTCCAGAAAGAAACACTAACCATAACAAAGTCTGAAACGTCGAGTTAAAAAAAGAAAAAAAAAAGAGGGGGCGGGAGAGAATCACTTGTGGCGTTTAGGACTGAAAGGTGAACGCTCCGCAAGAGACAGACACAACGCTCTACTTGGCGCGGCCGGTCAAAAAGCCGACGAAGCGACCGTCCTCCCCACCCCCACCAGGTCCTTCCTTCGCGCACAGCGCTCGCGACCAGAGCGAAGACGTCGGCGAGCACGAGCAAACGGGCGACGACGACGTGCCCACGCCAAACAACGCCGCCACCGCCGAGGCACTAAAAAAAGCGATGCCAAATCCGGAGCTCCAGCTTTCCGAGAAGCTACAAAGTGCGGTGCACTTCGCCGCAGATAGTCGCCGCCCGGATGCAACTTCTCTCGACTCGGGGAAGGCCCCCGCCGCCGTCCCTTTTGGTAACGTTCGCCCAAATAGCAGAAGAAACACACCGGTGGAAGTACAATGCTGGCATTCAGGATTTGAAGGAGGAGGGAGTACAGTCGGGGATGGATGGCTACATGAAAAAAATAATAATAAACAAGCCGGGGAAATAAAACCACTAAAAAGCGAGCAAAAAAAAAAGTACCAGGCGCGAAGGGCAACAAACAGCATGCCACCGAACTGACTGGGACCGGCTTCCTGAAGGCGAAGAGCAGCATAAAATTGATGGAAGGTTTCTTGGGTCCCTTCGGAGCGCTAGCCGAGCCAATTCGGGCTGGCTGTGAAGCGGGCCTCCCTACGACTGCAGCAAAAGGAAACCCGGTTCCGACAAGCTTGAAAGGTTTAAGCGAAGGATAACGATCAAAACAAACACGAAAAAGAAAAGGGGAGAAGGAAGGGGGGAGTGGTCACGCCGCACTGCTGAAGCTGTGCAAAGACAACAAACATAAAACGAGAAAGAAACTCGGCGGCACACGACGGAATATTTGTGCCGAATCTTAATTCAGACGGTGGGTTAGCCAATCTCCGCGGTCATTTTCACAGAAACACGACTACGAAGGATTAACCACGCAAAACCCGAGTTCAATAGCCTTCAAATCCACTGCGTAGAAGGCGGGAGAAGTGGGACAACTTGGCCAACCCCCGGACGGATTCCATAGGGCCAATGGAGTCGAGTTTTGTACAGTAGCGCCGAATTCCTCGTCCGTGGTGGGGGGCTCTCATTACTTGAACGAGTTAACTTATTATTTTATATTCGGTAAATTGTAAAATTATATTAAGAGCTAACCATGCTATTAATAAAATATCTGGCTTACTTTTCAAAACGACTTCTATATACACGTTTGGGACGTAGTAGCCTACTTTGAAGCCGTTTCTAAGCCAAGCCGTAAAGAATCCAACATGGCGTCTCTTTATTTTTGTAGGGTGGTTCTCGTATGGATCGCTTCGGGGTCGTGCTGTAGCCTGGATCCAGGCTCCTGAGCATCACGCCCGGTCCCGGTAGTGTAATAATAGGGACTTTTAACAAACCGTGTTCCGCGTATCGCACTATCGGAGCCTTTGAAGCATGCTTTTAAGTGCGCGCCCCGCTGTCACGGTATCACTCCGGGTGCGCGCCTATAAAGCATGTTTCAAAGGCTCCGATAGTGCAGTACGCGGAACACGGTAACAGTTCGCTAAAAGTCCCTAACGTAATATACGATGTGCGATTTCGCTTTCAGCTGTATAAGGTGCGTAGTCATGTGTGTTCGTTGTTCTTCTGTTTCGAGGCGTCCCGCCGTCCAGTAAGGAATCCACAGCTGCGACCGAAATATTTCGAGGCACATTTATTGCACAGATGCTAAAACGGAATTAAGTACAGCACTGCACCTGCATACGCGCAAAAATAAAACATTGGCAAAATCATTTCGTCAACCTCGCCCACAGCTGCAGTTGCACATCGCCAGCACCTCTCTGTCATCTGTGCACGATCTCATCACTTCATTATTACATGCTTGGCCGCACACCTTCTTGGGAATGGGCTTTATCACTAACTTTATCACTATCACTTCTTGGGAATGGTCACTAACATATATCTTTACAAGTGTACACATTGACCCACATAATTACGCATTCAACATGCCAAGTTGGATCAGCTGTTCACTGAAAGTAAAGTTGTTCACTGATTTAAGAAATATAAGCTACTTAGGTGGCCCCCAGCAATCATTACCTTCATTTTTACATATTCAAAGCTTCTCACGCAAGCAAGATGAAAATGTGAAATAAAGCTTCGAAAAATGTTGGCACTCAACAGGCTGGATAACTTGTTGGGAACCACGAAGTGTCCGAAGCTTTCTTCCTCCTTGAGACGACGTTCAAATGCTCGTTCTATATGTCCCAGCATCTGTAATGACAATGTGGTCATGATGTTTAAAATTTTAAACTGATTTAAAACAAAACAAATGTCCATCTACAGCGAACAAACTAATGACATAATGCCATTGTCGCACCCGGAACCATGCAGAAATAAATGAAACTTCAAATTAATATATAGGAAGCCTCATTATTTTGTTTTATTATCCTCCGTCTGTTCGAGGACCGCCAAAGACCATTTTCAAGATTAAACCCAATTGTTACACTTTAAATAAGCAGTTGTGCACAAATCAAAGTGGAGCTAGGTGTATACCATTAACTTCATTAAAACCGTACTTGTTCGGGGGAAAGCATATGTTTTTACTGCGAGAACGAGCCTGCAAACTAACAGCTATGGGCAGCAGAAGTTTAATGGTAAGTTCGCTGAGCAAATAAAACTGAGAACGGGAGATACATACTCACCTGCCTTATCTTGGAAAAAAAATGAACAAACAAAAACTTGTGGTCTTGGCATTTGCGCTGTCCGTGCACCATCGGGATATGGCCACGTAAAATGCACCTGTCAACAGTCTCTGAAAGTTCGCACCAAAATATCCATCGAGTTCGACAGGCGCGCGGAACGCCGGAGCGCGAAACTACGCTCGCACGACCCTTGAATAAACAAAACCACCGCCGTTACGAAGTTTCAAATTTGGGCGAGGGTAGAGCGAAGGGGGGGGGGGGGGGGGGGAGGGGGGGGGGGGGGCAGCGGCGCCTTCAGGGCACCGGCGAGGCCAGCGGGTCGGTTTAGAGTTTTGGTTTTAGACCGAAAACAGAACGAACAGAAAGAAATATATAAAATAAATTGCATTTTATTTTCATGGTGCGGTGAAGACGTTTTGTTGAAATTACTGTTAGCGGACAAAGTTTTATATTTGTATTTTTGTATTAATGAGAGCCCCCCACCACCTAAGCGCTGCTGCCGGTGGCGACGCTATGCACAGCGCCGCTGATGGTGGCTACGCTAATGTCAGCGCCGCGAAACTGGGACTGTGACCGGGGGTTGACTTGGCGCAGAATTTGACAGGTATGGCGCGTAGGCTCGCGAGACGGAGCAGTGTTTGAAAACATTGCGTGAAGTGGCGTTAGGATTATAACGGCAGAAATGCGGACGCAGCGCTCACGAAACCACCCAAGCCGGCGAGTTTAGTTGTAAAACTCGGGCAGTGACCTCTTGTTACTTACGAAGAAAACATGGCGGTTACTTGACGGTTTGAAGGCGCTCTTGGCGTCACTGATAACATATTTTAAAACTTCAGACTAAACAACGAAAAGGTTAGGGATAAAAAAACAGTGAGGAACGCCGGAAACCTAGTTACCGGGGTTTGAAAACGTGGCTATTTTCTTAACTTCGCAGCATCTACCAAGATAGAAATAAAACGGGACGGCTCGGGGGCTTGCTGCGCCCATCCCCACACAGCTCAAGATGTCGTCGAGCGTAGCCGTTGTTTCTACGGCTCAGACATGACTGCTGCCCGATGCCCAACTCCGCTGAAATCACGCCCAGCGTCTAGAAATAGACCGGCGACTGTGACAACAAAACGCGACCGGCGAGCTTTCCGGCTCTTTTGTCACCTTGGCTCGAGGTGCGACAGGATCCAGTCGAAGACCTCGCCTTCCACGTCCTCGGAGACGATGGTGCGGTCTCCTTGGTGGCCATTGCGGTGTTGAACCCCGTCGTCCGGGCTCTCGGGACTGTTCACATTCAGATAGGAACTCAGATACTCGGCAAGCGACCTCTCCTCCATCGCAGTTGGAAGCGTCGTGCCAGAGTGACGGAGGATAATGAACGCGTTGGCCTCGCAAGCGATCGTGCGAGTGCCCCGGCCGATAGGAGCGCTGGTCGCCGCCCAAATGCTCCGCTGCGGAGGTTGATCACCGCGCTGCCTCACGATGGCGGTAAAGAGGTGAAGTAGCTGGTTCGTTTTATTCCAGGAGCTCGCCGCTACGCTTTGAAATTCTGATCTAAGAAGTCATTTCAAATAAAATCGCCAATAACGAAAGTTATATTTTTGTTTTTCAGTTATATTTATTTTCGTGGCGTGGATTTTGGGGCATTTTTAGTTTTGCAAATTTTGAAAACCATGAGAAAGCCACACTGTTTCAGCCCCCCAAAACTGAACGTATTTCCTTCACATGCACGAATATATTTAAAATTTCGTACGTTTATATAAATTGTTTTAAAATAGAAATAAACTAAAAAAAAGTGCAGAAATTTCGCTAGAGGGCGCTTTATACCGCACATCTCAAAGTTGCCACGCGGCATCTGCGGTAGCGCTCAACGAGGGCAGCGCCGATGGCGCGATGTTCAACACGGATTGGAACTTACCTGTCGCTTCCATAGCCGAGCAGTCCAGCCGAGCGGGCGGCCGAGCACAGTGCACTCAACCGCTGACCCCATTCGTGGACAAGGTTTCGACAATACCAGAAATCGTGACTTTGCCGATGGCAAGGTCGTGGTTTTTGGCATTGTGTTTAGACTAAATTGCCTTTTGCGTTACTGCTTTATCCCGGTATATGTAGTACGTCGAATGCGGCGAACATTTCGTTGTTTAACAATATTAACCCTTTAATGCCGTGTTTTTTTGTTTTTTTTTTTATGTCGAGCACAAATTGTAATTAAGCAATGGTGAGGGTGCAGGCTACGTGGTTTAAATTGAGCGTAGTTGTAATCCCGAGACTGGTGATACGAACAAGGGACAAAAACAGAACGACACGGACGAAGTATGTTCCCATCCCGTGCAGAAAGTCTCTAGCATGTTTATGAGGTGCATTTATTTATCGAAGGCACATTGATCTATGGACTCATTGTTAATTGATGTCTGTATGCCCGCAACCTAGGATATTTTCTCGGATTATATTTTCCGAGGCACGGTACTATGCAAAGTGGCATCCCGGTCTCGCACCCTGGCGTCATTCTTTTCGAGTGGCCTTAACCGACCTTTATTTATTCAGAAGTGGAACTTTCCTGCTTACTTTATTGCTAAATTAGTTCATTAATCAATTACAAATCTCAGTGTTCGCCATAAAGCGCGAGGTTGAACAACATTGGGTCGCCTTTCTCGAACATTCGGCGGACGACAGCGGGCGTGTTTTCCAAAGTTCCAACAATATTAGGTTTTTTTTTTTTTTTTTTTTTTTTTTTTTTTTTTGTCTTTGTCTTTGTTTTAGCGTGCATGGGGTAGTAAGGCAAACAGTGTTACATAGTAATAAAACGTTACGATAGCCTTCGAGGTTAGGGTGAATTATTTACCTTAGGGTTGGGAAAGTTGGATTAGTGGGGTCACGTGGCAAGCTTTGTTTAAACCTTTGGCGGCTGGTTTGACCGTCTTTCGCAGAAGTTTGTGACGACCAGAAAAGATAGATTTTGTCTTCTTAAAGTTACCCTCATTTAGGTGTAACCTAAAAAGTCATTAGGGAGTTTTAGAATAATATACGCAATTTTAGGGCACGCTAGCACTAAATTTGGCGCTTGCGTTAGCGCACGCTACGCAAGAGAGTTTCAGAAGAATTTCTCCGCCGCGATGCAAAAGCCCAAGCATCTCGGACTTGCAACGCCACCAGGACTGCCAGAATTTTTACTTCCCACACGAAATGCTGTAACAACAGAAAAAAAGAAAGTTTTCCTGGTCCAGAGTGAGGTTTTAGAGTTGTTTAAACATGAGAATGCGACACGATGGGTCAACCGGTCGTGTCCGCCTGCATTGCCTCGGCAAGAGAGGTCTGGTGTACTGACCTTAACCGAGGAATGTTCGCGCGTCGCAAGCATCAAGTTGTCGGTGATCGTTGCCCACCCTACTGGGCTTTCCAAACCGAGTGCAGTGTCGTCCTGCGTTGAATAGCGCAGTCGCGAGGACACCGTTGACGTCACGCTCACGACGCCGCTAAAGCGGCCACAGCCGTGTTCCTGGGAGCCGCCATTTTTTAACTGCTCGTCTTGGCTTTAGCCAACTTCTCACTACGAATCCACCTTGGAGAAGCGCAAAGACCCTTTCTGTACACACGCGATTTTCGAAAAATAGCGTACGCTAGAATAACGCTCGCTAAAGCCTTGCGTAGGCAAAGAATAGTGTCGTCGCCACAACGCATGTGCCGAACGCTAACCACGTCTTGAAACGTCTCCTCTATCGAACGTGCCCATCGAATTCGTTACTGGGTGATTTCAGATAAGATCGACCAAAGGATGGCTACTCGACATTTTCAAATCAACTGATGTTTTTATATGTTATTGTCTAGTGTCTGGTATGAACGAATCCAAACTTAGTTTTGACTAGAAAAAATACTTGGGGACAGGAAAAATCGTGAGGCATGAGGTGGTGGACAGTTGCATTAACGCGCACTGATGGAGGGGGCCCGTTTGAGAGTGAATAACTAAAGCGATACCATTAGGAGAACTCTAATACGTTTTAGGCGCAAACTATGGGTATAGCTTGCTTGTAATATAAAGTAATCATATTTATTTAAAATTTATTTATTTTTCTAAAAATTGACAAACATGCCTGCTCGAACGACAAATGGCAAACTTTGGAGGTCTGTATCTCATGAAATAATTTAATCATTATGATATAATTTGCATATATTATTCTACTAATATATAGCTAATATTTAAAAAATAACTAAGGTATCTGTGTGATACAATAGTTAGGATATATTTAATCAAAGATGGAAAAAAAATCAAACAAAGAAAAATTCCGATGCGAATAAAAAAAAAACACCACCCTCGATTTTTTTTAAATTTAGGTAACCTGTTATACTCTATTTCGGCATTCATTTCCATTAAAAACGTGTTGCATCATTTTATTGAGAAAGAAGATACAACTCCCCAAAGTAGGGTCCTTTTTCAAAGCCTACACTTAGCAGTGTTTTATACAAGAACTGACTCCGAGTTCCAGTTTCATGAAACCAACACACATCTTTTATATATTTTTATTCAGATGAGGCCAATGATAACTAAAGAAATCGTTCACACACTTAAATTAAGGAGAAACTACTGTGTACAAAGAGGTATCATATTACGTACTAGTGATCCGAGAAAAGATCATGCAGCCATCGGCCACTAGGAACTTTGTTTACTTTATTCTCCTGCGACACTATATGCTATTCCCTCTTCCGCTCTACCTTCATCTCTCTCTCTCTCTCTCTCTCATATATTTCCCTGATATATATCCAGAACAAAAACATGTTCAAGCATTCCCTTTCTGCGTGGTAGTGTTCTGTGGCTAGCAAAAATCATTTCCTCGCTAAGCTCACGATTATGGCAAAATAGTTGCCGGAAACCGCAGACGACACTCGTCGCTAGTTCTGGCAAAACGGCCGATACAATCTTTTTTTCGCATTTCCCCGCTCGCTGTCAAGGACAAGGGGGTTCGCTTCAACCAGCAAAACATGGCCGCCGACGCCTGTTTACTGAGCAGTCATGCCTGTCGCTATCTCACTCGCTGGCGTCACGGGCGATAATATCAGGCACAAAGGGGCACACCAACCGGCAGCATTATCCCCAAATACTCGAGCCTCGCGTAAATACATATAGAGTGTAAACGCTGTCGCCATGTTATCGTAGTATGACCGCCCCCCCCCCTCCCCCAACGGGGGACTGCAGTACGCGACGGCGTACTAACACAACGGCGACGATATCGACATCGCGGGCTCCGAATTTTCCCATAGTTCTACTCCACGGGCATTTCTCGAAACGCTTGATATTGTGTACGCCCGCCTGGAAGGATTTCAGGCGCGTAGTTAAGATAAGGCGGTTCTCCGCGGCAAAAGAAAGCAATTTCACAAAAGCTTAAAAGCGGCGGCGACGCGTGTGCGGTGAACGCTTGTAGTTTTGGTGTAGACAGGGTGTGTGTGTTCTCGTTGTTGACACCAGCCGGCGATAAGGCACTGCAGGCGGTAGCTCAGTACAGCAAGGGCTAATCCGAGTGACCATCAACGTAACCCCACCGCCAACCCCTCGCGAACCGGTCGCCGACATGGCTCAGGCTGTGTCATGAACCACGTGGTAGAAGCTCGGGTGCTTTCATATCAGCGCGTGGAGGGACGACAGTGCGATTCCGGAAAGTCTTTTTCGAAGGCCGCTGACCACAATTTTTTGTCTGGAGACTTTCCCTCTTTCTTCCTTTGACGTGGATCAAGCTTTGCCGACAGCCTCAGTTGTGACCTCTCTCTCTTTTCAAATGTACGTTTGCAGTGAGTGAGCTCCTCAGCCTCGGACTTGTCACTTGTGCACCCAGTAGCTCTTTCACTTGGCAATTATATGCCATCAGTTGGGGTTTAATTTCTATTATTTATGTATACATTATGAAGACGTCCAGGAGCTCCGAACGAGTGTTTTGTGCAGATTACTTTTCCAAACACAAAAAGACTATACCAAAGCAGCGGAATTTTCGAAGTGTTGGCGAGTTGGACCTAAACTCGTTGAAGCAAATTCTTCCGCCTGACTGTTCCACCAAAGTGAGTGCGACGGACTACCTGCGCTACCATTGCTTCATGCACATCACTAAGGAGATCTCGATGCGAAGCTCAGAGCAGTGCCCTGACATATTTGTGCCAGCTGAAGAAGCAATTGAAGATCTAAATCGCAGCATACTACCTACAGATGTGTCGCCGCTGAGACAACCAAGCGTCGTAAGAAGTCGGGACAGGCCTGCCTATGTCAAGAGAAAGCAGACAGAACTGGAGCAGGTTGCTGTCAAGAATATACACTCAAGGCTACGTATTGCGTACGACAGGGACGCACCATCGGGGTCGTCCGAACCAACATGCTCCACATGCACTGAGTGGGTGGACAACTTTCGGCAGGCCTTTGAAACCGCCACCTCTCTCCGGGAACGTTGTCAACTGCTTACACTCCTG